GCTATGAAATTGCCATGATTGAAGCTGTTCCCTGTGTTAAACAAAATGGTTGGTTGTATTTGATGTTAAATATGATCACAATAAAAGAGGTTGTTTGTGTTTCATAGAGGATTTTGTTTCAAATAAAACATAGGASTTCCCGAGGGAACCGCTGAATATCGGTCAGGGGCTGACACCACCAAGCTACAGGGAACTTGCTGTGAGCTAAGCCTGGCTCAGTGCTTAGAATACGGGTCCAGGGGCTTGGGATCATTCCGGAAGTAGCCAAAATGTTTTATCTGGACTCGCTGAGGCACTGAGAAACTAAAAATAATTCGGCACAACACTATATCCACGCCGATAACAAAGTCAACTACTTTCCATTATACATTGGTTTAACGGTCAAACACAAACCATTCAAYCGAGGCTGAAAGGTTCAAATTTGAATTAAACTCTGAAACAACCATGCAGCCTCTATTTAATGCTTTTTGTGTGAWTGAACCGCGATGTATGGAAGCTGATTCATACTGAATCTAACGATCTAAGTTCAGACTCTACCTARTTTGACGAGGTCAAGAATAACCTTGTATATCCTCAGCATTTCTTCAGGAAACAAGTCTTCCTTTTGTTTCAATTCCAAAAGAATAACAATCTCTGTATGGCCTAGAGTGTTGAAACCATTACTACAGAAACACCAAGCTAGATATGGTGTAAGAGGAGGTCTGTGAACTGGGAAAAAAAACAAGAATCATGAATATAGAATACGCACATAAAACACACTACTCGGCAGCCAATTTCTTGCATTATTGAAATCCAACTTACATTTTCCTGTAAAATTCTCACATTTCAGATTAATTTTCATTCATCCTTATACTAGTTTTATTTTAAAGTAGAGAGAATAAGAGAAAAATATCAAATGCCCTTGATACCGAAGACGTGGGTTCGAATCCTGCCAAGGGCATTTGATATTTTTCTCTTATTCTCTCTACTTTATTATATACACACCGAAAGCATAATTTATTACTACTATACCTAGTTTTATTTTAGTTTTTTTAAAAGAATACGCCAATCTACCCAATGTTAAAAATCGGAGACACACTTTGTTAAAATTCCAACATTCAATTTCTCAGCTCAATTCGAAGGATAAAACAAAAGATATTCAATCTAACGAAAATTGGACACCTATTGTTATTTTCTCCAAATTGAGCTGCATTCCCACGGTATACAAGGGGTCTATTAGTTGTTTTGAAATGTTTTTTTAGGAGAGACCAATGACATTGGTCTCTTATTGGTCTCTTCTAAAAACTTGTTTGCTCTTTTGTCATTTTCCGTAAAATGTGCAGTTACATCGGATAGGTTAAGGTATCAGGGTACCCCTAGCGACCATTGTGCATTCAACTCCTAATAGCGCAAAACCTATTAATCGAAACCTCAACAAAGTATACATTTTCTGAAAGCTGAATAAATATAGAAACTATTTCATTTTTCCTTTTTGTAAAATATATTTATCCTTTTAAGCTAGAGAGAATTATTCAAATTTTCATCGTGGCATCTTCGCGGAGTTCGATGACAGCCGGTAATGATCGATAACCAATGCTTATTACCTTTCCAAGATCACAAGACATCACTTGTCAAAAGTGTGTCTCCGATTTTTGATTAGTTGCCCGTTGCTTTCTTATACCCTCTTAGAGTTATAACGCTACTATAATAGCTGTATCCGAGCCAAAATCCACGATAACTTTGGAAATAAAGGAGATTACGGACACCAAAATATGTTCTCGATGACAGATAAAGTATCCAGAAACCAAGATCGAATTACTTTATCATTGTTATTCAGGGCGGGAAGTCTTTGGTTATTCAGTACCACTCAATAGTATTTTTTTAGGCATTCATCGCTATTATTCAAGTTCAGACATTTTGTTCGCTCAGGGCATACTTTTTATTTTCAAATGTACGCCTAACTAAACAGAAGAGCAAGCAAGCAGCAGGAAATCAAAACGAAGGCCAAAAGCGTCCAAGATCAAACAACAGTGGCCGAAAGAGACGTAACGACAGATCGTTGACAAGTGATGTCAACAATAAATCGAAAACTATTAAAGCTAAAAAGTCGTTTTTCGTTTATTTCTCGCTATTAAAAAACGCTATTGGAAAATAATTTTTGGAAAATGATAGCTTATCGTGCTTATCGCAAAATGTAAAAACCTAAAAATCGATCTTTCATAGCAATTTTGGGGTACCCTGATACGTTAATAGACCAGCTGTTGCATATTGCAAATGAAGTGCGGGTTCTCTGGTTTTCCTTCTTTCAAAAAAATCAACTTTTAAATTCTAATTTGATCTATCGGCTTGGTTGCAAAACCTAATAGGCATTACCCCGTCACCCAGGAGTGGACAATACAGTATATTAGATATTTTTTATAACTGTCATCCCAGTGAAATGTCTCCAAAACGTTTAGTTCACATTAAATTTCAGTTAAGTGGGTCCATATTTACCCTGCTGGCAGTGTCTCACTCTAACTTCTTTCGCTTGGGGGAAATTAAAGGGACACTGCCAGCAAGGAATTAAGTCCATATTCAGGCAGAAAGAAAAACAAAAATACCCAATAAGTTACCTTTGATTTTCTTGACGGTAACTTGAAATTCATCGGCAACTTGTATTGTCACACCATTCGGCAGTTCTAAAAGGGCGCGCACAAATGATCAATATTTGAAAAATAAAACATCAATAATTCTGAAATGATAACGTTTGTTTTGCCTTGACTAGCACCTTTATGTCTCGCGTACCTTTCAAATCTTTTGCTAAGGCTTTGCGTCTATCCTGAAACATTAATCGATTAGAAACTTTTCCATTTTTCCAGCTGACAATTCTACCGGCAGGCCGCAAAGGGAGGCTAAAGTCCTTGACTTCTGCCTTCTCAGGAATTGATGACTCTGCACTAACATTCTGGGACTTTAAGTGTTGGCTGGGAGGATMACCAGATTGGATGYGGTCACCCTGCATTTGGTTCTGAGAGATGGTGTTTACAGGCAGACCAACTGTTTGTCCAGGAACCACTGTTTGTCCAGGAACCACTGTTTGTCCAGGAATTACTGTTTGTCCAGGGAATGTGGACTGTGGCTGATAAACAATAGGTGCCTTAACCAATTGACCAGTCACTGGGTCAGTATATGTGATGCAATCAGGTTGGTAGTTGGGTGTACTAGGTACAAAGACATGTGGTTGTGGTTGCGGATTTGGTTGGCTGGTACTTCCACCACTCTGGTTCAGGTTTGTATGTCCTTGACTATTCMTTGGTTGCGTAGGAGTTCCAGAAATCTTAGGAACGTTGGAATTTGACAACGAAAGTGGTGTATAAGGTGAAGGGGAAGATTGGGTTCTTCCACCAGTAATCTGATTTCCGGTGATTTTTGGAGAAGCTTGTTTCGTATTTTCTGAAACATTTGGAGATCCTTTTGCTTTCTTGGCCCTCATTGCTGAAGAAATGAGTACAAAATAAATCAGCGAACAAAGAAGAATAAGGTTAATAATAACTAGTTAACTAGGATATTCAGTTTTATGCTGCAGAGCKTCTATAAGACCTTCGTGGTGCAATGCTTTCCCATGACAGACCATGTGTCATTCCCAAGAGAACGATTTCTTTGTTTAACGGTTACGCATGATAAAATGAATGAATATGGATGCAAATCATACGAGGAATTTTATTTTCTAGGGAATGACATATAGGGAAAATATTAATTGTATCACAACGAATAAGGTTTATTCAATGATAATAAATTATTTGTAAATGCATAATAATGAAATGAATAATAAATGAAATGAATAACAAAATGAATGAATATGGATGCAAATCATACGAGGAATTTTATTTTCTAGGGAAGGACATATAGGGAAAATATTAATTGTATCACAACGAATAAGGTTTATTCAATGATAATAAATTATTTGTAAATGCATAATAATTGTAGACAAGAATACAGAAATTACAGGCAGGATTCAAATAGCATCATTCATACGTATGAAACAACATACTGATAAGGATGGAAAGAAGTTAATCATCAGTAAWTGGCAACCTACCGTCTTTGATAATGTTGGTGCAAAATACACAAACCCGCCCTATTCGATATTGTAGGTAACTCAGCCTGGCCAACTGGGAACAGCAGGTACTACAGAATATCTGAAATAAAACCGAAAGATGTCTAGCCTTTAACTTTCCCTTTGTGTTCAGTTGTCCCTTGGATAAATACTATGACACATACAGAAAATTGTTTGAAGTAAGACAGTAAAAATAAGCAGAAAAAAGCAGGCGCTACTAAGGTTCTTTGCAACGCCAAGGTAATTCGTGTTGCCTTAGCTTTTAAATCCCAAGGTAGCCTTTTGCCAATCAGTTAACTCTTAATGCAGACCTCAAATAATAATTGAAGTGTTAAATTGAATCCATTTTTGGCTAACCTTTCCACATCCCCGGCAGTGATGTTTTCTTCGGATCAAAGTAAACTTYTGATGACAGGAACAGCATTTGTTTATTTGATCGTCCGGGATCCACAATGGTGCYGCGTGACCAGGCTATAGAAAAAGTATTAACAATGTAAGACAATTCTAAACTCTGACTTGACCCCGTGAATTTGTTTTGATTTTGAGTCAGTATTATCATAAGAAAATTATCGAAATAACCACATTCATTATTTCAACTCTTACCAACTTGACTTTTTTTGCATAACTATTTCGCACGCGCGTTTATCTGATGATGAAATAACTCTATTACTAAGGTGGCTCTCCATTCATGGGCCCCTCAYTGTGAAAAAACGTGCACACTTTAARTAATTAGACTCGTTGCATTTTCGTTTGTTTTGGAAGTTCGGTACTTAGAAGTGAATACTATTACCAGTTAAATGTTATTAAGATCATTAGAGGTTTAGCCTACCAATTTTGGTTTTGTCCTCCTAGGTTCTTCTTGGGTCATTGTGGATGCTGATTGGCTTCTTGGGATTGAACCTGAAGGAGAGATTTGGGCTGTTGGATACGTTGCTGGTGCTGCTAAGCTGTCGTGTTGCGAAAAAGAGGYATTTTCTTCAAAGAATGAACGTGAAGAGGGTTCAAAAATTTGAGATTGGTAGGAATTGTCGCTGTTATTTCCCTGAWGCGCTACAGCTTCAGTAATATCCAGTGAAGGTTCTTTTTCACACTCTGTTTCTATAAGAGTGATCATGGAATCATTGGACGAGCGTCTACGATGTGTGTTAGAGGCTTCTCCTTTTGGTTGTGGCTGAACAACAGACGTTCTTGACTTGCTCTCTGTAGTYGCCAACATACTCTTTGGTATTGACCTAAAGTTGTTTCTCGATAGCTCTTCTATGTCAGTTCTCGGGGGTATTTCAGGGGCAAATGGATTCGTCTTATTAGTAATTTTTGACCTTGCTCCTTGCTTGTAGTACAAGAACTGATCTTCTTTACTTGAGGTCATTGGTACTTTGGAACTAGATAGCTTTAAATCGGATATGTCTGTGGTAGGAGTGTTATCATATTTGTCAGTAAAGGGATTCGAGGATGGAAACTGCCAGTCAAATGGCTTGTTYGAACTTCGCCCATGACTTTGTTGGTACATTGTATGGGGTTTTGTTGGACGAGCTGAGTCCCTGTATGAACGAGGTGGGGGCTTYCTAAGAGGTGCTTCATCCATTTCAGATTCCGTAACAGAAGAAGCATAACCAGAAACTAGCTCTGCTCCATTAGCAAAAGATTCATGTTTGTTGAAGAGATCGGCATCTTCATCATCACTAACAAGTTTCGGTTGTACTTGAAGATCGTCGATGTTCCCCTTAACTTCATTTGCCGATCCAAGAGGGAAGACCAATGGGAGACTTTCCAGAGTTAGTTCTGCTTTGCAATCTGAAGATGGTATCTGTGGAGAACTTGATGCAGGATCTTGAGCCAAAACAGGACGTAACACAAGAACGGGTAACTGCTCCTGCATTACTATATGTGGCTGGTAATACAAAGGCATGCTAGGTAACGTATTGATGGTGCTTATTAAGGAGTTTTGTGGCTTGACCATAACTGTGGAAGTGTTGCTGGTAGATGATGATGTTGTTGTTGACATTGAAATTTGTACACCAGTCCTGACTGCTGAACTGCTAGCTGGAGTTGTGCTATGGAAAGCACTATTTAAGCCTGGATATTGAAAACCTGCTGGTATCCCAGTTGATGTATGSAGTTCTTCAGAACCAGGTAATTCAGAATCCCGTTTTTTCATAGGTTCACGGCTGATTTTCGGTTTTGGATGCTGTGCACCAGACAGTGAATAAAATTGCCCTATGTCCAAAGAGCCATATTCTTGGGTTGAAGCTGGTAAATGTCTCGCTCTTGTAAATGTTTTGCTTACACCTGGGTCTTTGATGGTTGGTGAACAATAATTGTCTGTAGTCGGGGGACTTTTTTCTTGCATTCTGTTGTGTAAATTGCTGGTCAGGGGTGTCCTTTCAAAAGTACTATTGAGGCTGGTTTGGTTCAAGCTGTCTGGTACCTGAGGTTGGGAATATGACGTACCTGTTATAGTTAAGGGAGCTTTTGATGGATCAGGTCTTTTTGATTCTACATGAGAGAAAGAATCCCTTACTGATGCCAGATCTGCCTGCTTTTCATTGGGGGATTCAGATAAATCACTTCCTGATGTTCGTCCTCCTGATGCAGGTGTAGAAGGAGCCATGTCATCATCAGAAGACTCCACAACTTCATCATGCTTGTTGCCTGTACGAACACCTGATGGTTCCAATTTGTTTATATTTTCATCTGAAACTGATGCACTTCTGTATTCCACAGTAAGACTGTTCTTTGGTGAGATCTTTTTCTCATCTTTGATGATACTCTTCATGTAAGGAATTTGATTGTTATCTGCCTTCTCTAAACATCTTTTATCAGCTTTACGTTTACTTTCCTCAGTCGAAACACCTTGGATTTGGTTCTGAATATTTGGAATTTCATTAGACAATCCGTGACCCTGAGCTGTTCCACCATTCTTCTCATTGTCTTTCTCATCTTTGCTTTCTTCTTCTTTTCCTGCCCCATTAACATCTTCGTGATTATTTTCTTGGCCTTCAGTAGCAACATTATTTTCCTTTGTGCCTGATTTGACATCTTCATGGACACTTTGATCCTGACCATCAAAATGAGATACTGAGSCAGTACCAGAGTCTTCCAATGAAGGAACGTCATTCACTTTGTTTAATGATTCCAACCTTTCTCCTTTGTGTTCAGCTTCATYAGGTATGAGTTTGGCATTCTTATCTTTGGCAATGTCAGTAGTCTGCTTTTCTGGAGGTGTTTGGGTCYGTGAGCTCTGCAATGCATGTAACAAAGCTTGGCACTCTTCTTTGCTCTTGCCTTCCATTGCTTGAGCAATTTCAAGSATAACTTCATGGATGTCCTGAGGCATGCTTTGTAAAGCACCTTCCTTAGCATGACTGTTTGAGTGGGAATCAGTTGACGATGCCATATGGCCAGAGGATTAAGGTAGTGATGATTAAGACCTAGTGACAGAGATAAAATCATACCTTATACCATTGTTAACATTGTTACGTYGCCCTGATTGTGAAAATATATTTCAGCCTTTCTTGGCAGGCAACATAAAACTAGAATAAGGGTATAGTAAAACATAACAACATAAAAATAGTAAAAGGGTAGATCTGAGGGGTATAGTGGACTGGCTTGCCTTCAAAAGCTATTGGAGTTTAAAAATGGTGGCAATTTTTCCTGATGACATCATATTCTCATACTTGAGCAGCCTAAGATCAGGGACCACTGAGGACCAGGGCAAGTGGTGAGAGGTGTGTGTGTGTGAGTGTGGGGGGAGGGGTCACTAAGATTGAGAAAAGCATGGGAAAAATGGAGATAATTTGCCATAGCAACAGCCTCGGTTTCAGGCCATTTTAACCTAAAATTCAGGTTTTTGAAATTTCTCTGTTATGGTCATAGGCACAAATTTAGTCAAACAATTTTCTGCTCAAGTTATAAAATAACCAAGCAATCGATGGAAGTCTAGAATCCTTGTTAGGGGCCTGGACTCCAGTGTGTTGCCATAGTAACCACAGTTTATGCATTATCATGTTATATATTTTGAATACAAACATACTGCCAAGTTTTAATGGCATTTATCAAATACTCTTAGAGATATACTGAAATATATGTTGAAGTAAACTGTTTGTTGAGAATATGATGTCATCAACCTCCTAATTAATAGCATAAACTTAAAACCAAACCAAAAATGCTAGCAAGTAATGAAAAATGCCAGTTTTCTTCTTTTGTAAAGTGCTTTACRAGTGTTTATGTTTGAATAGTAAAAATTGCAGACATTAAAATTTCATCGTAGTGGCACTTTAATAAATGATACTTAGTCATTTTTATCAAGATTGAGGGTCATTTGTAGGAGGATGGCGACTTTCAACTGCAATCTAATAGTCTTCATCAGGCAATGGTGTAGACTGGATGTTGTGTCTGTTATATACTGCTCATTGGATAATCTGTGCTGTGATTCGTTGTTCGGTTTATAATGTGATTGGCTGTTGTTTGGTTGTTGCATCTCTGCCCAGTGTAGGTATTTTTGTAGGTATTAAAAAAAAAACACTCTGGACAGAGTCACAAAAACCTAACAGCCAATAACAGCATAAACCAATCCAACCAATCAGAACAGTAGCAGTTTGTAGTCCAAAGGTCATGGTCCTTCTTCAAATGACGCTCAATCGTGAGGCAAATGAATAAGTATTGTTTATCCTATCATTATTATCATTACAAGGACATAGCCAACACTTGTCTGGTTCTTAAAAAACTTTAAATTRGWCATTTTTTATTTACYTAATTGKGTAATAAATATTTTTTTAAGAGGGGGAAAATTGATTCTGAAGTTAAAAAGTGGTTCAGTTAAAACCARACCAACCATACTGGTGGCTAAGGCCCTGTATTATTATTATARTTAATATTATCATTAACATCATCATCATSATTAWTTTATATTGCATATATCTACTATGCAATATAATATGATTTCTTTRAAACTTTAAAGTCTTATAACACTGTCTTATTGATTGATCATTGCTATTATTCTAGTACAGAAAGGATTGCAACAGCAAGTAGATTAATCCATTATCTTTTCAAGCTCAACTATATATATCTTTGTAACACTCTGTTGCACTATCTACACATCAATGATTTAGAGTACAATGTCTAATATTGTCACATATTTTAATCCCAATCCTTTTACTAACACTTGAAATAAAAAGAAAGAATGCTATTGGTCAATAGGTTAGTCTTTCAGCAATTGATTTCATAATTTTTCCAAAGACTTTTCTTTGTACACAGGCATGCACATAAAAATGTTAAAAAGACAATGTTTTTTTCTGCATTAATTCTTTAATAAGGAATAATAATCTTATTATTGGATCTACAAATGTAATGATCTTTTGAAATTTTGCATTCTTCATGCYTTTTAGACAGAAAAATGTCTTTTTCTAGACAACTTCTTTGAGCATGCTATAAATTGAAAATTGCACAACCTTTTTGCACAATTCATAATTAAGATGTACTTGTAATGTTTTGAAAATTAAATAAATTGCACTAGCATATACAAAAACTTCAAACCAGGGCTCAAAATAGTGACCTGTCAATGGCCAAATGCCAGGCAAAATTTGAGGTTTGACAGGCAAAAATAGTTATGAACTGACAAATGGATAATCAAATTACAGGCTTTTTTATTTGGTGATTGTTCACAAATGAATCTCCTCCAATCCAAAATATTACCAGTTGAAAGAGAGTCCCTCAACKTCAGGTCTCCATGGTAAAACCATCACTTTAATGTGTTAGTTTGTGTTACAAATGTCTGCTCAGACTAACGTTACAGGAATAATATAATAATAATTCTACTTTGTYGGAAGTCTTGTCTATTTCATGTGGCATGCCATAAGGATTAATGACAGGCCAAAATTCGTTTTACTTGTCTCAGTGGTGAAAAATAAAAAACAATGACAGGACAATTTTCTTTTCCTAATTGGAGCCTTGCAAAAACATTCCTGTACCTATATTAATAACGAATTGTTGTCAAGATCATGTGATTTCTATGCTAACTTATTTATGTCTCCAAAATAAAAGGAAAATAGCATGCATATCTAAATAYAACTAGATCTAAGGAATGTTACAATATTCTTACTAGTCTCTTTCCACTACTTGGTTCGTCTTCCCTTGCATATGCATCAATATTAAACTGGATCCAGCTCTGRACTAAAGTGGCATATTCTTGAAGCACCTTTTAATGGATGGTGATTTATGYCAATGATTTTCATTGACTGCAGGTTGTGAGAGATTACAAAATGCCAAGCAATTGATACAATGATCATTCTACAAAGACTTCCAATAACCTCAATATCATTTGTGAGGTATTCTGTAGGTGCTCCAAGCCATTTGAGTGTCATTTAAAGACTTTAAAAACTGTAACCTATAAATAAGTTTTGACACTGATATCMTATTCTTTTGAAAAATATATAAAGTTCATCAGCATTAATGCATTAATTTCCAAAATACATGACATTTGTGTAAAACCAGAATGCTTGAAGATTAATTGCAGATAARCTATAGATATATTATCCACATACGCAAATAAAATGAGCAATTCAAGAAAACTATTCCAAACCGGAAGTAGAGTCAAGATACCATAACGAGAAATAAGTTAAGCTTACAAAAACAAATCACGATTACGATGTGACGTGATGTGAAGTTACTGGAAAAATCAAATATTAGTATATGTATGTGAACAAAATATAACAATCATTCGGACAATAAGGGTTCTTRATAAAGGTTGTTTGATGATTTAATAGAGCGAAGAATCCGATTGGTTAAGCTTAAAAGTTAATTTGATTGCTAGTACCATGGGTTTGGGACGTAGCTGTTTTGATATACACAAGCAACTACAATCGAAGTGTAGAGGTTAAGAAATAATTTGAGCTTAAGCGTRATTTGTGTACAATATAATGATGTTTATACAATCAGACATAAGTAATACGAGAGCGAACAGCTTCGCGAACGTGCACTGACAGGATTCTTGAACAACGCACTTTTTTTTTAGTAGAAGTCAAACAGATTCTTAAAATACTTTAATAATTCTTCTAAGGATTATGCAATTGTATAAAAAYACTCATTTAAATCGCACAAAGAAGTTTCTTACTTTATGTTGTAGCTTCTCATCTTCACCTGGTATCAACCGCCATCTTGAACTCCACCGCCAAATCGAGGCTGAGTCATACGAAAGCGTGACGTGTTCTGGTATAAATACAGTACCTACTTAACCTTGCAATTCTTTTCTCAAAGTCTGATACTAGAACATGTATTCTTATTGATATGAGTAAACACTTGTTCTTTTGCCTGAAGAAAATCACATATTTGTAATTTTTATTGATTTCCAAGTATTTGTTTGGTTGGGATACCTGTGGTAG